AATTGCACGAAGATAAATACAACAAAGAAGTTGTGTATATGTTTGAAAGCGGCCCTCGGTGTTGTGACAGGACAATGCGATCTCTCGATCACTGATTGGACTGTTGCCATCTGTTGCCTCTCGGCATCTCCGGGGTAGTTTGCATTTGACTCATTTGACTCGTTTGACCATACAGCAAAGATCCCAGCATTGTCTCGTAAATGAACTGCCAAAAGGCTTGTTGACATTGAAGAAGCAATTCACACCTCGAGAAGCTGGAATGGGGACATGTGACGATTTCACTGGTTTTCGAGTTGAGGACCTGCGACTCCTGCAATTATCGGGAATCGGCTAAAACTCCTGTAATGGAAGTGAATATTTGCTTGCAACTCATGCAGTCCAAGACTGTCATGCCCTTCGAATCAAAGATCAATATCTCAAACTTCTCCACCAAAGCACAAGTCAAGCTTCTAAGTGAAAATCCGTAGTCAAGCACGAATTGTAAACCTATAATGACTTCTTGTTTTTTAATCCCCTTGTTGGATCTCAGAAATGGAAATACATCATTTACGACCATCCAACCAGCCCTGTGGTCAAACTGCTTAAACTGCTTGTGACATGCGGAAAAAAGTTTGTGTTGCTGTTCTGCTGTACTGCTCTGAGCATCTCTGAGCGCTCTAGCCATACTTCACTCCCAGCGTAGGCGCTCTACCTGCCAGCTCGAAACATATGGGTCCTAAAATATGGGTACCCCAAACCATTGGTTTTCCCATTGATAGTAACCTATTATAAAATAGGGGCTTAGAATATCTTAGAATAGCTTGGTCGACTTGAGTGTGTGGATGGAGCCACGCATGTTCAATGTCCCAAGATGTCCAAAGTGCGTGAAGATCCTTCCTGCAGCCACACCATGCCACACCTGCATGCAGCACACGTGGATCTTCTTTGCCATCCACGGAGTTGGGCCTTAGATGGTAGTTTCTAGTGAAACTTCAGCAGAATATTGTGGAATGCCAAAGAAAGGTCCCTGTCGGCCCTGTAGAACCATCCCATTGCAGGCAAATCATTGCGAGCCATTGGAGTCTCTCAAGTCTCTCATCCCAAATGAGAATTTGGCACAGATCTTTCAAAGCCGTGGTGACGACTGAGCCTCCACACCACATCACAGCTGTACCTTGCCTGACAGGTCATTGATGGAAACCCTGGACCCTGGAACAAAAAAATGAAATACCATGGAATCCTATGAATAAGCTAAAAACCGCTGCCCATAAGTTGAGTTTAGCTGAAGTTGAAGTAAGTTGAAGCATCATTATCTGCATTTCATCCCCGTGCCCCTTGACCTAGACTTAGTTGGCCCCCATCTGGCCCACCCCCACCGTGCGAGTCGTGCCTGGGTCTGAAGCTCAAGCCCAAGACGGGGAAGTAAGTGTCGCCCGCATCTGCAGGAAATCTATAGGAAATGCAATAGGAAATGCAATAGGAAATGCATGGATTTGCAACGAAATCCTCTGATTTTCGGAAGCGTGAAACATGCCAGAAACTTGAGGGGTTGTGGGATTGTGTGGGACAAAATATTGTTCCTCATGACTCATATGGTTCTACTTTGCTTGTCTCGTTTTGGTGCATACAATGTCTGTATTCTGAGGGGCAAACAATCCTCTTCGTCCAAATCATTCAGATAAACGAAAATCTCGGTGGCTGGCAAGGCATCATCGCATTTTGGAGGTTGAATCTTCCAAAACTAGGAGAAGGTTGGCAATTTTGCGATATGATTTTTATAATTGATGATCTTTATATCTTTTATATACTTTTATATACTTTTATGTACGCTGATGCTTTCCAGAAATGCCATGGACAATGCCAACCCAGCTGTTTTGCCAAGTGGATCCAAGTTTTTTGTGCCAAGTGAGTCAGCTGGTGCACCCTACACAGCTGGTCTACTTTGCCAGGCCCCCTGACAGTAAGGGGTCGGAATTTCCCGTCATGGTGCTTGTTGAAGTACTCCCCAGGCGCCTGAGATTTAAGTCTCTATCAGTCAAGTCAAAAAAAAAATCGAAGCCTCTACAGTGTCTACAGCTTCAGTTTCAAAGGACTTCAAAGAGATTTAAAAAGGCTAAATCATGTCAAATATCAAATGTGTCTGGTGAGTACAGCTTTTTCAAGCATTTGTTGTTTCCCAGCTTCGTTTACGCAGGACTGCTGGACCAGTTGTGGCTCCCAGCATATCGAACTGCATTCATCCGCTCCAAACTGGGCGAGGTATTGCAAAGTATCTGGCTGTGAATTGTAATATTTTACCAACCTGACGTAAGCCCCTTTTTGGGGGGTAGGTACTCTGGTAATAACTCGACGGAGGTCTTATTTTCCTAGCTTCTCATGATACCTGCAAAGTCAAACATGAGAGCTAGATATATAGAGCAAGTATGAAGAAAAATGAACAAACAATATGAGGAATCTGCAAAGAATGCAGGATTCCAACATCTGCACCCCACTTTCGGTTTTCGATCAATCCATCCCTTGATGCAGGCGACTTCTCCATGGGCAAACAGCCGATGGAAAGGAGTCGGTGCTCCAAACGCTCCACCACTGAATCTTGCGCCTTGGAACTCAGCCGTCATCAATGGCTTGGCTACATGGGAAAATAATCTAGAATTATCGGTGAGTATCTATAAATCAAGGATTTTTCCTTGCTTGATTACTGGATATATATCCGAAATTGCTGCAAGACAGCAGTTGACTTCCAGCAGATTCAGCACACTTGGACCTGATTGTGCGATCGGATGATATCGAATGCGTATTAACTGCCTCGTCACATACATACTGTTTCTTTAATTGCTGCGCAACCGCACGTCATGGACTACGACATATAGCAGTACCATGTCAAACATGTCGCAGCAAACATGGTGGAAATACCACCATACCACCAATGCTTCAAGCCCCAAACATATCTCATCATGCATGACCAGGAGGTCCTGTCACAATTGTGTCAGTAGGAGGGAAAACACCGAAGACCGTGTCAACGTCTGAATGCATCCTCTTCCCTCTGAGGGTTCTCACAGCAAGGACTGTTTCTCACCATGTCTGATCCATCTGAACGAGGTTATAACAGGCTTCACTAAAGTCACTACATGTCACTACAAAGCATCATGAAGTCTCCGGCTTCTGGCCCCAAGGCCACCAAGGCCCCTCACGCAACCCTGGCGCTCGCACCTTGTGGGTGCCAGGATGTTCTCCAAACTCCCCCTGTCGTAATCCTGAGGAAGCCAGTCTCAGCAGGTAACTGGGATCCTTCAAAGACAAATCTTCGTTGCAGGGCCAACACCAAGGATTTCTCTACAACAATATGTCCCAGTCATTTCCAGTCCCTGTTTGTTGGATTGCAGCTGGTTGAGAGCCATGATGAACCATGACTAGGAACCTAGACCTAGGTAGTCTAGCGTGAGACATATCTTCACTCCCAAGCCATGTACACAAACGCTGCCATACGCAGCCTCCATTGTGCACTTGTTGTTGTCACCCACCAATGATGGCATCCACGATGCCTGGAGCTGTCAATGGCCACATTCATGGACCCAATAAGCCCTCGAAATATACCCGACAAAAAAATGAAAAAATGTACTACAATGTACTGCAATGTACCGTATTGGTATGGGTGGGATGTGCGTAATCATCATCCTCTTTGCCATTGACGGGGGTCCGTGGATTTCTGATAAGACTATCTGCCAAGTGCCACAACAAAGCCCTCACACTTGGTTGTATTTTCTTGTTCATTCAGGCACCAAATCATCAGCTCAACATCCCATGAATGGCCTCGGCTAACTCTTGGAGGTGGACACACTCCGCTTCACTGAAGAAGTTTGGAACAACCTGGAGGCTGCCCGAAACAGAGCTGATGGGCTGATTGGTGTAGAGTGTATAGCCAGACTAGCCAGGATGCCGGAGCCAACGGATGGTAACACAGTTAGTAACACATGTACGATCCAATGTACTCCACGGTTCAGTGGATTTTCGGCTGTGTGGTGACCAGCTCTGTGGCTGGGCCCCTTGGCCGTGATCTTTGGGTCCCCCAGGATCACGAAGGCTTGTAACCTGGGAGGCAGGTCGTCCCTCCACTTCTCTCATAGAAGTGATATATGCTGACAGGGCAGAGGGTTCAATGGCAACGACTACTGACTAGATGACTAGATCTAAAGAAATGCCATGAAAGGCCCCGATGCTTGGCAGCCTATCACAGCTGCCACTTGTTGGGCTTGGTTTCATGGGTGCCATCAAAACATATCAAAACAGATGCAGCCCTCCACATGCATTTTCCACGCCAAGGAAGTCGCACATTCTATAAAGCCTTTTCAGTTTTGAATATGTGCGCGTCATTTCACACGCAAAATTACTTGACACGACCTGCTGTACCACTGTAGCAGCCTCAAATTTGTTCCGAAACTAGGCAAGAGGAACTCATCCCAAAAAAAAAATTGACTTCTGCACAAGCACCCGCAGGGCTGGCAGGGCTATCATGATTGACAAGGCGAGGAAGCACCAGCCCAGCCCAGCCTCCCCTGATGAAAGATGATCAAATCACAGCTCCAGTGCAGCTGACTGCTGGGATTCTGGCTGCTTGGGTATTCCTGTAGCTTCATCCACCTGGCATCAAAGGCCCGCACTCGCCCGAAGTTTAATGCCAGAAATACACAGAGGAGTTTGGATTTAGCAAAATCTCTGGCACAATGTCTTGGTTCAAAAAATATCAAAAAATGGATTTGAGATGCCTGCCCCAACATTGTGACCTGATATTGGTTTCACGTTTCTCGAGATTTTCTGGTTCTTCAAGAAGTCGGGTTGGTGCATTTATGTGGTTCAGTTTGTTTTTCTTACACCCAGGTCACTGACGCTACTTAGTTGACATGCAAACCAACCTCTGTCATGTCGCTTCGCTATGGATGATTTGTTCCAGAGTATCTGCTTGCAATGTTCACCAGCACCAGTCCAGTAGCAGGTGCATCCGCCACTGAACATACAGAAGGACAATTTTTGTATGCGCACATCTGCCGGTTGGTGTACTAGCGGTCAGCCATAGGCCCATAGGCCTGGCGATGAGCTCGGAGGGATTTGATATCATGACCTACGAAGAAGCCCAGCAGCTTGTTATTGCTCCCATAGTCCCATAAAAACCACCTGATTCTCCTGAATGAAATTGATTGAAGTTCCTGAAGCTCTTTCTAGTTGCAGCATACAGAATACAGAATATATTATTATTATTATTATTATATATATATAATTATATATATACACATATTCTGAATATGTAGCAACAGCACATTCCCACCTTTCCGAACCGTTCCACTTAGCCCGCCTGGAAAGCGATCAGCTATGGATCCAACTCCGTAGCCTTGGTCTTTGCCAGGATCTCAAGCCTTAGCGATGTGAAGGTTTCGTGGGGATGTTTACCCCACAATTTACCCCACAGAATCGGAATTTGATATGATATGTAATGGTATACATAATGGTATACATATATATATATACATATATATATACATATATATACATATATGTATATATACATATACATATATATGTACATATATACATATATATATATGTACATATGTATATATATATATATATGCATGTATGTATTATGTATCTACATATATATATATATGTATATATTGTAGACAGATATGATGGGGATGTGACTCATCAACATAAAAGGCATTGGTCGCCTGGACTGTTTTCCTCCAAACTTTTGCCAGGTCACAGCTCGAAATGAATCAACCCATTGGTAGCACAAATCGGGCGCGTGCTCAAAGTGTATGGCGAGCCCTTGCAATCTGTCACCAGGCCTCCTGCCTCACAGCTCTCATGATCTCGGGCTCAAATCTACTTGTTGCAGTAAGTGTTTCCAAAGTTTCAGCCTGTCTTGGGTTTCTTCAGCACTGACCAAGTACCAAACAACAGACAAAACCAGACATCTTCACAGAGAGCTTCTGATAGCAGTTGCCTCTTGGACCAGCAAGGCTCCAGCAGCGTTGTCCCAGGCGTTCAAGTCCACCTGCCAGTGATCACTTTCCATCAGGTCGGAGTAACTATGTTTCTCCGTCAAGCCCATTGAGTTTCCAAAACCATCCGACTTCCACCCTGTTTCAGGAAGCCAGAACGAATCATCTTCATACAGTTTTCAGGAGATCTTCTATCCAAAGCATACAGTTTTCAGGTCCCAACATCGCCTCGAACCAAGCATCGAGACGTCCACAGGCGAGCCATGCAAAGTTCACTGCAGCAGAGCCCAAGATGCGAAGTGTCCTCCATGGACCAGCAGTGACAGTGATGGATTCTGATAGACTCTGATAGACATCTCGGTAATTGTGACTCAGCCATATGTAATCTTTATATAATTATCTTTAACTCTTAGTGCACAACAATAAAGATAGAGCATGCCACCAAAAAAAAAACGGCAAGGCGCCGCTCCCTTAAGGAGAGGTACCGAGTGCTAAGCAGGGACCAGGAAAAAAAAAGGTGGGAGAAGCACAGAAGCTGGGAGCCAACCCCAGAGACAAAAAAAAGAGGATGCATGGGTAAAGGAGATTGGCAATTTAAGGCGTCCTTAGGATCAGCCAAAGCAGCCCCCCAAGGTGCACCCCAGCATCAAAACAAAAAGCTACAGTAACAGACCCAAAGGCCCAAAGCGCTCAGAACGCCGCAAGGGTTTGTCTTTGTATCAGGCATGAATGCACTGAATGTCAAGCTTGTGAAGGCTCACTGGCATGATTGAAACAATGCCTACCTATACACTGTACATACAGACCTTTTCAGTCATAAAGGATCTGCTCAGAGCACTGTTTTGCAAGCGCCCTGTTGGTGAAGGAAGCCTTCTCACGCACCTTCTTCGTCACCAAAATTGGCGAGCAAATTGCGTGATGAAAGTGATGCCTGTCTCATTAAATGCATTTAAATACATTGCAAAATTTCCACGGCGTATCGAGTTCCCAGCAACAGCATTCTTGGATTGAGCTGCATCTACTACAGTCGTTTCTGCCGCCACCTCGCAGATTGGCCTGATATGCCGTGAAGTTGCTCTGGCTGGCGGTTTGCGAAGCCCGCTTAATGCAGATGTATCCGGGGTCTGCAGCTCCGGTGCTCAATGAAAGGATGATAAGGCAAGCGAAAAGACGGATTTGCGCCATGGACATGCCGACACCGAGCTAAAAAGCGTGCCCGAGTGGTTTGAGCAAAAGATGCAGCTTTGCCTAGCCAAGTAACTTGAAAGAATCCTGGTTTGGTACAAAAGCCCATCTGGTGGCATGGATCTACGGAGAATCCAGTTGCACACTGCCCAAACCGTCCAAAAACACATCTGCTGCAGGTCAAAATTTGGCTCACACACCTGATGTCATGCAGTACCACTGCCCTGATGCCATACCACCGAATGCACAGAAGCGGAGGTTTGCAGGTTCCTTGTCTTGGGCGCCAGTTCAGTCATGGCCCGAAGGCACGGCGCTGAGCTCTTCGGATTTGGGGCACACCCCGAGGCGACCACAGCCTTGGGAGGCAGGAGATGGTACACAAAGAGCCATTCTTCTGCCACATAGGATCTGCGAATCCGATGATACAGGCAGCTGCAAAGGATAGCCTTTAAAACTTTAAGCCATGTTCGAGCCATGTCCACGTCCAAATCATCTCAGTGAGGTTCCCACACCCAGGCAGCGCCTCTGAAAGCTCTTTGGCATCTGAGACACGGATACTTTGGCCTCAGCTTCAGCACAGGATGAGTGTGGACGGGGGGGTCCCCAAATTCATCAAATTCATCCAATAACTCCTCCAAAGGCTGTATCATGATAGGGAAGTAAAGAAAAATAAATGGAAATGGTGGGGAAAACATGGGAAAACCATCTATGTTCATTGATGTCTTCAACCATGTGCTGCCATGTGGCCGTTGAGGAAGGCACCACGCTCCACTTGCGCCGTGAAGAGCTCGTCTCGGAAGGGCTCATAGATGACCTGGGGCCCCAGCTCAGCTGACACGGTGAAGATCGGTGAAGTTCAGAAGTCTCATCAAGTCTTTGGCCACACAGGCCCAGCTAAGCGCCCGGACCCCAACACGAAGCTGTCCGTCTTTAGCCACGCCGATGCTCACCGCGGACATGGGTTGACCAGAGGCGAAGTTGGTAGTTCCATCAATGGGATCCACCACCCACAGCCAACCTGGAAGCTAAGCAGGCTAAGCATGGCTAAGCAATCATAGCAAGGCAGGAACAATTGCTATTAGCCAATAGGATGGTACGATCTCAGATTGCAATTCTCAACACTTGGATGTGTGTCTCAAAGATTGAAATAATCTGCATAAAATGCCTGACACTATTGCAACAAGATCATGAGATGATTCCCAGAAAAGAATGAATCCATCCTGAGTTCCGATCTTTACATCATCCTACTTAGACCTACTCATCCTATCCCATCTTCCAAACCCTGATGCCTTCCTGCGCTTGCATCTCCTCAATACCTCCAGTGGTCTCAGCCGTCTCCTGGGGACGGGCGGTCATTCAATTCAAGTGCCAGCAACGCCGATGACGCGCTGATGATCCCCGACATCTGAAGACCATGTTTGATACGTTTGTTGGATCACCTCACAGCTGGTCACGGCCCTCAACACAAGGTGACTCCGAACATCTCCTCCCCCAGGAATGCATGGCTTGGGAAGTTGTCCTGAACCTTGGAAAAGCCCAAAAAAAACTTAAAATCATGGCAGCCCAAGGAGTACTGTTCCTTTGCACCAACCATCTTTTCATTTCGCATCTCCACATTTAGTGATTCCTCTGCCTTCAACGTTGTGATACGACACTCCGCTCGTAGATGCTCGTAGTAAGCAAGGGTACGAGTACTGACCTGCCACCAGCAGCCCGTGCCCAGGGACAATCTTTCGGATGGCCTCCTCACACTGCCTCAGCGATCAGTTTTGGTTGTCCACTGAAGGTTTCAGCTGCAAAAACCTGACAAATTTTGTTCATGGACAATTGGTCTTCCAAAGTTCATTCATCGTTGGTGCTCCAATATGTTGGATTCATACAGGGGATTACAACGGCGACATCACTGATTAACCGAATGATAAATTAACCAAAGAACAAACCTCCAAAACCGACCAAAAGGATCCAAGGTTCTGATCCACTGCTGTCAGCAGATCCGCAGCAAAGGCTTTACGTCGAATGACTTTGGCACCCACCTGCTCTCGGATCAGACACCCAGCAGCGCGTGCAGCCTGCTCTGCGACCTGTGACCGCCCAACATCATTCAACTCCAAGTCCCTCTTATCCGGTGCAAATCTGGACCCAAGTTGAATAAAGGTAGAATGGAGTTTTTTTTTTCAAGTCTGGGCCCAAAACAGGATGTGACTGATGTGACGGCATCGATGTCTTCATTCTGCAAACCCAGTGTTCTAGAATAGCTACCGAAAATGCTGGTGTGAGCTGTACCATACTGTACCTGCTTTTAGAAACGTTGAACTCAAAGAAAACAGCATCCCAATTTTGTTCCCAAGCCAATCTAAGGGTTTTGCGATGTATTGAGACTGAAATCAGCCACTAAGGCCAAACTCGGCCGCTAAACCTCCAAGACTTTGGCATCTTCGCAGCGTCGCACAGTGCGGTGGCATCGAAAGCATCTTCTGCCACAGGCAGCCGCAGCTGCAGCGACACCAATGGCAGCCAATGGGCGCAACGGCAGCGCCACAGACCGGTCACTGGCGTGCTTCACTAAAAAGCAACGACCATGGGAAGCCACACTTGGCAGGTGAACTAACATGGTGACCAAGTGTCACTAAGTGTTGCACGATGTTGCGGTCCAGCTCAACATCTTCTGCAGCTTGACAATATATTCAAAGAAATGAGAACAACGATGCATTTTGGTGAAATATTCACTTTTACGTGTACTGTTGTGACGGAATTTGTATATGCTGGCGCTTGGGGTTGAGCTTCAGTTTTCCTTCGCAAAAGTAATGGATTGTAGTTCTGATTAAACCAGGGTCCATAGGAAGGAGCACCACCAAACGACCTGCCAGTTAAGAACACAATGATACAACGGTTACAATGGCGTCCCCACAGAAACGAAGATCGCTTGCACTACTTTATGAAAGTCCCTTGTCCATTTCCTTGAGAAAATGCAGCTGAAAGCGTGGAAACATGGCGTAAGTGTACGTATAAACAAGATTCACCCAAGGCATGTGAGAGACCAAGCTCTACAGCTGTGACAGCCTTGGTTTCCAATCCCACCTATGCTCAATGAATGGCCGCTGCAAGTTGATGCAGGAGCAGTTCCATGGTTGCAGGAGCACTTTCTCAATCCATGTTTTCAAGTATCACATCCATTCATATTCCATCAACCAACCTTGAAACATCTCACTTCTTCCAATTATACATATTATACTAGATAATTACTAGATATTCCTAGTTAGTGTAGTCTTGCAACCAAAATTTTGCTGTCATCCAGACCGACCGTCAATGGACCCCACCTCCGGCTCCACACCAAAGCTCCGCGGGTCGATCACGACCGTCTGAGGCAGCGGGGATCGTGCGACGTAGAGCTGGCTGCACTCTGAGGGAATCTCATCTAAGGATTTTCTGGCCGAATAAAGATCCATCTGTGAGAAATAGGATCCTAACCTTGAATCCAATACAGTAGGAAATAATTAGAATCATTGCCTCGACATGCTCAACAGCTCAAACTCCACGCCATACACAAGGCCAGTCTCACAACCAACACAGCCCCAACGGGGCCCAACGGGTACCTGTGGCTCCGCCGCATCCAAAAGCGTCATCGATTCAAAACAGGCAGCTGTTGGAGGATTTCGGGCGGAGAAGAGCATGCTGAAAGCCTTGTGACTGTTCGTCCCCTCTGGTACGCTCGGACTCATCATATTTATATACTGGTTTAAAAAAACACTCTTACTGATTCAAAGTGTGCAGTATATATTGGTGTGTAAATCGAGTATATTGATATTGATACTGTCATAAGAGAACAAATCCACACTGTAACACTGTAGTTTCTGATTCACACTAGATTGACCTTTGACGGTGCAAGACACTTGCTTTATAGACTGTAGGGGATGTTGCACAGGAAGTCTCTATGTTTTCAAGACGCAGATCTAATGTCTGCTCAGTTTATTTCCTGGGCATGACAGTTTCCCATGGAGTCATGTTGAAGAGCAAATTACGTGAACATGGACACGACAGCATGTCAGCACCCAGCGTCCAAATTTTAACACCATCACTCGAGCCAAACCACAGCGTGTTTTGCCAGTTTGTTCCCATTTTGTTCCTATTGAATTGAAGAACACGCCACATCTTCCAACTTGGACTGTCTTTCCACTTCGAGCGCAAGCCGTTTATATAATCCTCCCATTCAACATGATAAGCTGCACAGAAGCCAGCAACCATGAAGGCATCTCAGACATCAACAGCCAAGGGTGGACAGAAAGAGAATAAACAACACCAGACAACGATGCAAATTCTAGAAAGCACCTATATACACAGGTGAAACATGGCGAAATGCAGCTGAGTTCAGGCTGTCTTTTCTCCACTCGCACAGACCTGCGGCTCATCCACCATCTCATCTACACCTCTGGCTGCCTCTTTCCAAGCACTTGGAAGTTAAATAATCCAATTGATTGCATGTTATTATATGCACAGCCCATCTTGCAACCTGCTCAAGGGATTTTTCACAAAGCGTTCGAACCTCAAAGCTTGAGGAGAACTTGGCCCGTCTGTGATCAGACTCGCAGCATATGCCCGTTGGATCCATCTTTTGGCTGCTGGGATGTTCCTCTCTGAGAGCGACAGCTGAAAGGCATCGTAGCAGTGCCGCACTTCAGCCACATAGGGGATAGGTCTGCCCAGTTTTTCATACAATGATAGCACCTGCTCCACCAAAGCTACTGCTTTGCTGGGCATCGGATAAAGTTCAGGAATGCTTTGGTCCAGCTGCCCGATCTTCAGACGAATAGCATCATGTTTCTTTTGGAGGGATTCTGCTTGCATGCAAGCAGGACAATCACATGCGAAGCCAAATTGGGTTTGCAATTCACGCTGCCGTTGGTCTGTGGTCAAATGCCATTGGATGTAGTTCGTGCAGATCTCTTCGCCACTGGCTATGTCGGCATCACAGAAGAGCCTTTCACGTCCATCCACCCACCCATGGTAGCAATTGTTGATGCACGAGTGATTAGCTCGACTGATCACAAGACAGAGTGCTCCATTGCTGGAGCCAACCCCCTGTGGCCCTGTGGCCCTGTGCATTTGTTCTAAACACTCCCAAGAGGGTCTTTCCATTTCCATCAGGCGCATTCTTGTCATGTAAATCCATAATCTGATCCTGCACTGAAGCTTCCAGTTGATCAAACTGCTCCTGGATTTGGCTGAATCCCATGAAGCCTTGCCTTTCCATCAGCACGGGGCTTTCCTCCACAATCAGCTCCCCCCGGGAGATCTGGCGAGTTGCTATCAGTCCTAAGCCTTTTCCAGGAATAGGTGCTATCCGGTAGGGTAAATCTTTCACAGAGGACTGGACAGGACTCTCATGTCTGGCCTCCTTTGAATACCCACCTGAGCCCTTCTCAGGCTTCACCAACTCCCCTTTCTTCCTAGCATTTGCCAAGGCATTTTTCACGGTTTTCACGGGTTTATCAACTTCTCTGCGATCTGAGCCGTCGTCAGCTCGGGGTTATCTTTTTGCATTTGCACGGCTTCTTGCCGCCAGGTGTCATTGTCCGCTGCGCCTTCGGCCATGGCACAATGCCCTGAAAACTCTAGTAGTTGATGGATGGCAAGCTGTCGTTTTGCAGTGATCCCGGCATATTCTTAGGATTGATTTTGCAAAGGAGTCTCCAGTCTTCATCTGTTGCTTCTGACAGGAATGCAGTGTTAGCAAAACTTGCCACTGACTTGAATTCGCCTTCCAGTGAACTATATATACTAGAGGCAAAACAGTAGCAGTTTAAATGTCCACAACTTGAGAATCTCCAAGGTCGGGCTAAATAAATTCCTGTGTGCTTCTCAGGATTGTGATCGTCAATCCCGACAGATTAACGGGTTGTTTGCCTTCTCCCTTCCACCCTGCACCTGCACTTTGTGGTTCTTCACATTGGGCAATTCAGGGAAGTGCCCTATCCCCCTGAAGTCCGGAAATCGTCGGCGTTTGAATGGAATGTGGTTCTGAATCCGTTTGCGAATACTTGGCATCCAATTGCCGCCTGCTATAGCTCCAACATTGCCACAGCTTGAGGTGTGAAGTGCTTGAGGTGTGAAGTGCTGATAAAGTCTCATAAACCTTCTGATTAAGAATACTAAGATAAACTCTGGCAGCCACATTTTTTTTCGCAAGAAAGACATGATGGCGCACCGCTCCAGCAGTTGCCGGACAGTGAACACATCCCTATGTACAGAGTGAGCAGTGAGCGACAGCGGTTTAAAGGACAGATGTGCAAGAGAGGGGCTGCGAAACTGAAACCCTGTAAGAGCTATGGTCCATGACTGGTTTATCCTGTGGATGCGATTAAAAAACCAGGAAGCATTAAACATTCCATCTACGACTCCCTTGTTCCTCTTGGACTGGTTTAAGCAGGTTGCCTGAGTGGATGCTATCCTTTAGCCGAGCCGGTCTCACCAGGCATCAAAGAATGCGGGGTCTTTGCCGCTGACAAGACTTCGTTTCACTGCCTGACAGCCAAGGAAAAGCGAATGTTCATGGATACCGAGATGAAGGATGTCACTTCAGCAGCATGCTGTTGGAGCTGACTTCAGCATCATCCCGTCAGTTATGCCAATTGCCAATTTGAACGCAGCACACCAGCAAGGGAGGTGCACCGTACAAGAAATGAAATCTTCTTGAACACTCCGCTTGAGATTGTTGAAAAGTTCTTCTGTTTACCAAGTCCCCTTGTTGCATCATGACCCCACCTTGGCACAGTTCACCACGGCAGTCTTCACCAGCTCTGCTGTGGGCTTCACCAACTGCACCGCCTTGGTGTTGCCTGGCAATCTGATACCAATCTCGTCTCCCAGCTGAAGCAAACCACAAAATACCCGGGGTCAAGCTGGCCTAAAAGATCCACAAAAGGATAAAGGGGGACGTCCAAGACCTCAACGATCCGATAGGGTTCTGCCCAAGGAACCAAATGCAACGACACCAGCTGTTCGGTGGATTGCATCAATGAACCCTGGGAAGTCTTGCCATGCACAGAGCATGGAAAAGCGGCACTGCATTGAAAGCTAGCTGCAGTCTCTCACTCAAGCTTAGTTGCGCACAGGTGCTTTCTTTGGACCCTTGCAGACCGGTGATGCATTGAGCAGCACAATCAGGCTGCCATCACCTTTCCAAGGTGCTCAAAGATCGTCGGACTATGGCATGATGAAAATTTCAAAGCTGCGCGATACATTCCAACCAAATTAACAAGTCGCAGGAAGGGCGTTTTTCCATGTGCACCTAGAAACAAGATAATTATGTGTAGTTCATTGAGTTACTTCTCCACCAGAAACCTAAGGGGCTGTCAAAACATCGATTCAAGTAGTAATCTTGCACCAAGTCGCTAGAACAGGAAACCAAAATGTTGTAGCACTGTATCAGAGCGAATCACTGAGCAGCCCATGTTGCCTTGAATCAGAAGCCCCATGTGATCTCCACGCTTCAGATTCACCTGAAGCCAATAGAAATCCAATAGCAACCTGTGGACTGAGATGGACTGAGGCCCTGGGGGTCCCTACAGGGCTCCACTTCACTGGTATGTCTTCCTCCACATCTGGGGAAAAGGAGCAACCATTGTAACCGATGCTCCAAGCCTCCTGTGCGCTGCAAAACATCTCCCGGTCTGGATGCTGGTATGTTGATAGTGAAGGTGAGCGAATAATTTTAGACGCAAGGAATAAGTTAAGAATCAGAATACAGAAGTGAGACTGTAAACATGAACCGTCTATGTTTATAATATTGTATATGTATATAGAACTATGTATATTGTAAAAGAATGATTGTTGCACTAAAGTAAGACCTTTCGGCCTTTCGGCCTTTCGGCCTTTCGGCCACGGTTTTCCAGTCTGACCTTTCCCGACCTTCACATCGCATCCCATGAGGATGTCATCCATGGCTTGAGGTCGCTTGGAGGCAACGCCCAGGACCAACCCATCGTCGTTGCCTCAACCAAGGACTCGGACTCGGCAAGAAACCAGCAGGCACGGAAGTTTGATGGAGTTTGACAGTTTGACAACAGAAGAGTGAAGTATCTGAATTTGGATCTCAGATTTTCAAGATCTTCCAAGGGTTCAGTTGAACTTGGGGTTCCAAATCCGCTCAATCTAGGAGGCTCTGGACCTTGGCGCAGCTCCTCCACGACCACCTCGAAGTAGGCTTCTCCATCCGGCCCGGTGCCTCGGAAAGGTCGACCCAGCGACTTCCATGAAGCTGACCGAGCATTCGAGCACCCCCAACAAGGCACCACTGCGCACCGCTGGGCGCCGCTGGGCACCCCCAACATGGAAGTGGACCATCGCCAAAGACCACACCACCCAATTCTTTGCCAACCTGAGGTGGCAGAGTTTCAACCTTTCGAGGGCTTGACGCTTGTTTTAGGGAATCCAAAAAATCAAGGTCTACTTTCGAAAGGCAGTTGCACAAAAGGGTCCTGCGCAGAAAAGTGTCTAAATTGATTCTCCGCAAAGAGCGCGGAATCTTTTCGAGATACCAAAAAAAAAGATTATCAAAATTTATCAGGGGTCACCATCCGCCTTCAATGACCAACAAAGGTTCCTTGAGAACAGTGTTGAATCTGAATGAATCTGATCTTCAAGATAGGGCAGGGAAGGAAGTGGCTTGCCGCCCTTCTCAGACATGGCACTGGATCACGGCTGGAGCAGGAGAGCCGTGAATTAGAGAGGCTCACGGCCTGGATCGGATGGTTAAGCAGCTTTCCCAGACTGTATTGACGCTCAACGTCTACCCTTCCAAAAGACTTGCACAAAGTCTAGCCTGATATTAGCTGACGCTTGCAATAGAATGCACAACCAAATCGAGATAAAGGGTGCTCCAAGTTCAGACGAAGCAGCTTTCTCCGTTCGGATGGGCTAGCACTACCTTGGTCCATTGTGCCTTGCCCAGCAGCTTTGGATCGAAGCCAGTGAAGATGGTGCCATCCTCGCAACCAGCATCCAGCAGCAAAAAGTACCAAGGCCCCCAGCCACGACATCGCAACCAGGTGACAACTGAGGCTGCTGGTGGCACGGCATCCCTCACCATAGTGACCTAAGGCTGGCAACCGCAGCTCAAACCATCCCGCTCGGAAGATAAGAGCAATGCCATTGTGTCAGGGAGACAAATCATTGAAACTTGAAACATATTGAAACTACTGTGGTATAGTATGATTGTGTAATTGACATCAGTTGTCAATACGTTGCATCACAACTTGAAGCCAAGGGGCAAGGGACGAAAGCTAGCTGGGAGGGAAACTGGAGATTGAGGAAGCGGTGTGTCAGGAATGGTGAGAGACGAAGTGGAGAGGAAGTCTAATGATGCTGATGATCGGACGGTGACGATATGGCGAACATGTCCCCAGGGGATTGATCCACAGCAAAACTGTTTGTGCAAAGGGCCAGCCGTGGAGGGTATTTGACTGTGAAGTTTCATGTGATTGGCGATTCCAGCTGCGAAAACCTTGCTAGAGCAGGGTTGCAGCAAGAGGGATTCCATTTAGCAGAAGCATGCAGAAGCTTTCGTGATCAGCCCCGAACGACTTCCCGCCCAAATCACCAAGGCTCACCTGACAGACGCGACCCAGGAGGTCCACCACGGGGTAGAAGGCCTCCACATCTGCCAGTGGGAAGTCATCTGTGACACGCACCACCACCTCCACCAGCGCGTCGAAACAACACGACACATGTCGGTGCTCAATGGCTCTGGGGGCGGTGGCCATGGTCAAAAATCAATGGTTGTGACTTGTAAACAATTTCGGATTCTTTGTGCACCTGTTCGACAAAAACTATGCAACTGGTTGGATTTGTGCCTGTATCTGCTTTGGTTTGCTGCTGGCTGTCTTTCACTTCCAACACTACAAGGCAAAGCTCAAGACGTTACACAGATGAAGCTCTTACCGAAACTGAGCCTGGCAAAAACTGGAGAATTAAGGCTGGTTGCAAGTGCAGCCCAGCTAGAACTACAAGTAAATTGCAATGAAATATTTCTGTATTTCCATACATTTTATGTTCTTGTGTTTCACCGCCATTATTGCCCTTGCATCGACCAACAGTCCGCACCTTTCCATTGACCACAACGATGAATTGCCCCGCTCTACTCAGCAGTGCCTGACTTTGTTGACAGTTGAAAAGTTCAATCAATTCCAGGCCTCCAGAATACGGTCATACCGGGTTCTTCAAAAAAAACAGCCATCCTCCTACATGTTGTCACATCATACCTGATCCCCCCGCGCCCCCTTGATCAATGTTGTTGCCCAATGCATGCCGGCATCCGAACCGAAATGGTTGTTTTTTTTGAAGGCCTTTCGAAGCAAAGCGATGTAACAACATTGAATTGGGGGGAAGGGGGCATGCAAGTTTCTTCGCAATGAGTTTGACAGGATGGCTGTTTTTTTTGAAGAACCCGGACTCAGTCCGGGAAAGATATTTTGGTTTACGGATGTGCAAACACAAGCTTGAACAAACTACCTTTTGCACTTGCCACAACCTCAATCCAAACACGCTCTCATCTTCAAAGCTGCACAAACACGCTCTCATCTTCAAAGCTGCTACCCAACAAACAAAGAAGCACAATATTTTTTTGTTTATGGCTGTGCAAACGCAAGCTTGAACAAATTCCCTTTTGCACGTGCCACAACCCCAATCCAAAGACACGTTCATCTTCACAGCTGCTACCCACAAACAAAGAATGTGCCTCCACGCCTCCAGAAGCAGAATTGCACAAACTGTGTTTTGCACAGTGCATGTACAGTGCACGCACAGTGCACGGTACAGTGCATGCCACACAGTGCACGGCCACAAAACGCTGTAAATACCATGGGATTTGCGTTTTGTTGACAATTTACAAAAAACTATAGAAATATTTTCTTTTTTTGTGTTTTCTGATTATTTTTGGGAAAAGACGTGGTATTTACAGCGTTTTGTGGCCGTGCACTGTGACGTGCACTGTAGCGTGCACTGTGCGTGCACTGTACGTGCACTGTGCAAAACACAATGTTTGTGCCCCCTTATATTTTCATCAGCAGAACGCTGCAATTCTGCTTCTGGAGGCGTGCAGGCACATTCTACATTAGTGCACCATGCAAGGCACACAGCTCTGATCTCCAATTTTTGCTTACGTGCGGAGCAAATGCTGCAATGTTGCTTCTTTGTTTGTGGGTAGCAGCTCTGAAGATGAAAGTGTGTTTGAATTGGGGTTTTGGCACGTGCAAAAGGGAATTTGTTCAAGCTTGCGTTTGCACAGCCATGAACGAAAAAAAATAAATCTGTTGCGTCTTTGTTTGGTGGGTAGCAGGTTTGAAGCTGCGAGTGTGCTTGGATTGAGGTTTTGGCAAATGCAAAAGGGAATTGGTTCAAGCCTGTATTTGCACATCCATAAGCCAAAAAATCTTCCCCGGACTCAGTCCGGGAAAGAATTTTTGGTTTACGGATGTGCAAACACAAGCTTGAACAAACTACCTTTTGCACTTGCCACAACCTCAATCCAAGCACGCTCTCATCTTCAAAGCTGCTACCCAGCAAACAAAGAAGCACAATATTTTTTTGTTTATGGCTGTGCAAACGCAAGCTTGAACAAATTCCCTTTTGCACGTGCCACAACCCCAATCCAAAGACACGTTCATCTTCACAGCTGCTACCCACAAACAAAGAATGTGCCTCCACGCCTCCAGAAGCAGAATTGCACAAACTGTGTTTTGCACAGTGCACGTACAGTGCACGCACAGTGCACGGTACAGTGCATGCCACAGTGCACGGCCACAAAACGCTGTAAATACCTTGGCGTTTTGTTGGCAATTTACAAAAAACTATAGAAATATTTTCTTTTTTTGTGTTTTCTGATTATTTTTGGGAAAAGACGTGGTATTTACAGCGTTTTGTGGCCGTGCACTGTGACGTGCACTGTAGCGTGCACTGTGCGTGCACTGTACGTGCACTGTGCAAAACACAATGTTTGTGCCCCCTTATATTTTCATCAGCAGAACGCTGCAATTCTGCTTCTGGAGGCGTGCAGGCACATTCTACATTAGTGCACCGTGCAAGGCACACAGCTCTGATCTCCAATTTTTGCCCACGCGCGGAGCAAATGCTGCAATGTTGCTTCTTTGTTTGTGGGTAGCAGCTCTGAAGATGAAAGTGTGTTTGAATTGGGGTTTTGGCACGTGCAAAAGGGAATTTGTTCAAGCTTGCGTTTGCACATCCATAAACGAAAAAAACAAATCTGTTGCGTCTTTGTTTGGTGGGTAGCAAGTTTGAAGCTGCGAGTGTGCTTGGATTGAGGTTTTGGCAAATGCAAAAGGGAATTGGTTCAAGCCTGTATTTGCACATCCATAAGCCAAAAAATCTTCCCCGGGTTCTTCAAAAAAAACCGCCATCCTCCTACATGTTGTCACATTATACCTGATCCCCCCGCGCCCCCTTGATCAATGTTGTTGCCCAATGCATGCCGGCATCCGAACCGAAATGGCTGTTTTTTTTGAAGGCCTTTCGAAGCAAAGCGATGTAACAACATTGAATTGGGGGAAAGGGGGCATGCAAGTTTCTTCGCAATGAGTTTGACAGGATGGCTGTTTTTTTTGAAGAACCCGGTATGATTGGTCAATTGTATATAGTTAAATCAAAAATGCAAAAGCACGCTAGATATGGGGATACTGGGGATGGGTCAAAACCTATTACTACCATATTTGGGAATATATAACATAAAATAACCATCCACTAACCAGATCTAACCAGCAATTGAGCTCTCAAAGCCGCTGTGTCTATCTTGCCATTGAGTTGCTCCCACACGGTCGTTCACTTCGAGGCTGGATGGTTTCCATCCCACTCTGACCTACCGATCCAGAAATATCCAGAATATATCTGTAGGTTGGCCTTGAGGATTCTCTGCAAGCATTAAACCATGCGAATCGGAAAGGGTGGGGCAAAGCATGAAGAGAATTATATGCTTGAAGGACTACACCTATTGAAGTCACAATCCAAATGATTCTGGCCGAGAATAGAAAAGAAACTTGTGTGGAAATCAATTCTTCCAAGTTCTGCTCAACAATCTCGACAGCTGTTCACAGAGACAGACTTACGTTTTATATGCAGAAATGCAGCACCAATTCCACAAGAATGTCGTGTGCTGCTCATTTGGAGACGACAAAATCACCACCCCACCTGCTCACTCTCCCCCATGTTCACAGATCTATAGAAGCCATCATAGCCTCTCAAACAGGCTGGTGACTCAACCCTTGTTGACTCTAAAACCTTTGGCTTCACTTGGATAGATTTGGTACCTTCTGAAACCAAGAATCTACCGCTCCACTTTGAGTTACTGTGCTTCCACTGTTGCATGTCCTTCAATCCTGAACAACCACAAGGAAACGTGAGCGGGAAAGTATTGTGATTGAGTTCCATTCTTTTGAAAGAGAAACTCAGACAAGGTCAGAAATCACCTTTCCAGCCGAAGATTTGGTGCTCACACAGGTATATATCCTACGCTTGAGGCACAGGTGACTGCATGTGAGATTCGCTCGGTAGATTCTCTTGACACATTCTCTTGGCCAATTCAAATGGTCTGACACTGACTGTGCAGATCTCCGCAGATCTCCGCACCTGCAGTCCACGATTCTGGCAGCGTGTCGGAAACTTCATGTGGATCTTCCCCTGCCAAAAGCTTGAATGGTCAAGTGATGCAATTTCACTCACAGCTCTTGAGATGGCATCTTTCAGGGAGAAAACAAAAAGATCTAGCGGCTAATGCGTTCCATGTGAGTGCGCAGTCGATTGGACCCTCCAGATTCAGCTTTTCCAGGATTGTCAAATGGTCAACCTCCACCCCTCACCTGCTAACTCATTGGGCGGCACCAAAGTGAAGCCCAAAGCAAGGCCATCCGGCATGCCCTGCGCTGAGGCAAAGACCAAGGTGATCCAAATGGGATCCAAAGAGAAAATCTGATGAGAAGGTACCACTTGGCATGTGACCATCGCAGAAAGAATTGTCTAAGAAAAGGAGAAGCCACTTTGATTTGAAGACTTGGTCCCAATGTTCAATGGTGACAAATGCATGGAAGCAACAAAACCAAATGTGCCACTCTGTCTGCGAACTCCATCCCATGTTGAACTACGTGACAGGGTTCGTTAGGGGGTGCAACGTTAGGGAGTGCAAAGAGGGTCACTTGAAACTTGAAGTCTTTAGTGCTTGCGACCAGGCTGCCACCCGCCCTTCAGGCCTCGCGAACTCGGTCCACTCGAACTTCAAAGTAACGACCAGCAGGGAAAGGGATCAATGGACTCATTCCCACAGCAATTCCTTGGACACGCGCTAAGATCGCTAAGGAATAATATGAAGACTCACTGTGCAGAGACGGGTGGCAGCAAGCGGCATGCTTGGGAAAGAGTGTATACATTCTTCCTTTGGTTGGAAAAGGTTCGGACAGTGACTTCGTATATGTGACGACATTTGGTATGTCCAATAGTGTGAGATTTCCAAAGTTGCAAGTGTCCCCTTTGTAATGACCTTCAATTTTTGGGACTTGCGATAGCAGTCAGAACCACCAAACATGACGATCATGGCTTGGAATTGTGGAGACTTGTTTGATGAAAGTTTTTTGACCCACAAACAGCAAATTGCTTGGGAGACACCGTAGAGTTCTCGGCCACTCTCGTCCTTGTGCCTCACAGAGTTTCCGTCCTCGTGTCGGGCATTTTGTGCAGGGGGTGCAGGTGGTGTGGTTCCACGGAACCTGATCTTGAGCTGCCCCACTCAACACCCAATAAAATGCAAAAATGACAGAAACTTCTTGTTTGACTGTGCAGCTCATACAAGTTGCCACTGAGAAAAAGCTGGCATCCCTGAATCCAGAAACTGTAAGAATTTATCTATCGAAAAGGCCTTGGAAAGCTGCATGTTTTTGCTCAGCAACTGCGCACAGAACGCAGGTTCTGTGGCCTGGGGCCAGTTGGGCCACTCAAAATTCACAAGGTGTCCAAGATCCCAGCTCTGGTCCAGACCATTGAATTTGGGGGTCAACTCAAGTTTCATCCATACAATGATGGACCCCCACCAAAATTGCAGGACCCAATGAATGAGGAGATTCCATGGGATTCCATTCGATTTCCACACAAAAACTGGGCAATACTTTTTTCTGATACCATACCTACCTATTCAACCATACCTACCATACCTACCATACCTATATCATACCTATCATACCTACCATACCTATCCAACAGCAGCTGGAGAAACTCCGCGCCTTCGGTGCTGGCCGCGGCTGTGTGGACCGCCGAGGCGGTGCCGAGCTCGCAGCTGCGGCTGAGGGACGCCTTGGGGCATGGAGCACTGGCAGCACTGGCTCTTGAAATGTCAAAATACCAAAGACTTCCGAAAATCCAAGGATTCGAAGGAAGTTCAAACAAGACTCCTTTGATGAATCTATGTCAAATCTATTTGATTGTTTGATCAATGTTCCAGATTTTAGGGGATGAAATAGAAGGTTCGGATGGCAGGGTTGCTGCTTGGCAGCTGAGTACTCTCAGCTGATGGTCGCTGCTGCGCTGCAAGAGGCAGTGTCTCTGTCCTTGGATGTCTGGATTTGGAAAGGACGTCTATCATTTGAAGGTTTGACATTATATAGATTTACATGTTTATGTATATAGATATACATATACATATGTATATGTATACATATATATATATATTGTGAAATGGCAATCGACTGTTGTATGAACTGTTGATGCCGGAGTTGTGCGCACTGTTGCCTTTTGCACTGTTGGGCAATGGCTCAAGGCCTGTAAGCCACATGTGAGACATGGTATGCATGTTGGGACCAATGTTACATTCTAACACGCCCCCTCGACATGTTGGCTATTGTTGCCTGCATGGCGAATCTAAGAATGTTGACACTGTACACTTTACATTCATCAGTTGTTGAAGAAAGATGTTGTCTATTGAGATAGTGTACATCTATTCATCGGAAACTAATGTTGTCAGCTGCACTCCATGTTGATGTCGCCATCATCTCTGTTGGTTTGGAGTGTTGACTCCAGGATGTTGCAGTTTCACCCTTTGTTGCTGAATTGTTCAGCCATCCCGTGCCTCCACGCTGTCCTCGATGTTGTGAGGCATGTCCTCATCATCTTCTCTGTTCTCTGGGTTGGAACTGTTGCGATACTGGTTGTACTTCGCAACGAACTGTTCCATGTTGGTGTTGGCTGTGATCCATTCGATCACTCTGGCGTTGCCCCTCAATCTCTCCATAGTCTTGTTGCCTCCCATGGAGATTTGTTGGAGATGACGCCAATTCTGAGGTGTTGACAGCAATCCCCATAGGCGAACTGTCTCATCAGTGGACAGTTGTTGGAGCACTGTTGCCCCAGAGTATTCCAAAGATTGGAGAAAACAGATGAAATGATCGTTGTTCTCAGCAGAGATCAACGATGTTGGAAACACGTAGTTGTAGGTCCACATGTAGTTGTTGGACCAAGACAGCTCTGTTGTCACCTGATGAAGGACAGTGTTGTCCCTTGACGAGGTGACTTCCCAGATCTGTGTTGATACCTGTTCATCAACTGTGAACCGCATGACGTTGCCTGCCTGGATCTGTAATTGAGGTCGAACGTAGCCACGGTTGAAGATGTCGACCGTATTGTTGCCCAGGCGTTGGAGTTGTTTCAGCTTGTTGACAACCACACATGTCAACATCCACGTGTGGTGATTTGCTGACTCCAAATGCAACTCTGTTGCATGATAGGCACATGTTGTGACCGCGGCACCTGGGTCTGTTGACCAGATGGCTTTGTCAAACTCTGGCATGAGGATGTTGCCACTAATCCCCAAGAGTCGGTTCGTTGTTGGGCACAGCGCTGACTGATGGATCTCTGTTGGAAGGCAGATCCACCATGCTTCCAAACTGTTATTCTCCATCATCATGTTGAAGGCATCCGGGTTGAGGCCTTCAGGGTTGTTGGTCGCGCTCATCTGAATGGCCCTTGTTGTCAGGCCAATGCTGCCCAAGGTCACCTTGTGTGGGGACCTGTTCACAGGTGGAGTTGTCAACGCATTGTTGACTAGGGACATTGTTGCCGTAGGTTTCAACGATGTTGAAGCTCGAGGTCTTGTTGAACCAAACGGCTTTGATCAATAAACTTGTTGTCAACGAAATGTTGACCTTCAAACATCAGATGCAAAACATGTTGAATTCAAGAAAACTGTTGAAACACTGTACTCGAAAGTCGACATGTTGTCAAACGTGATCATGTTGCCAAATACGTCCACAATCATGTAGTACACATCATGTTGAAGAAGTATATGACATAGTTGATCATGTAGTGATACTTCATGTTACGAGGATGTAGGTGAAATAGAGGATGTTGCTGACCTTTGTCAGCACCATGGCTCTCTGGATCTGTATGTTTGTGTGTGCATGCCACGCACGATGTTCGCACGTTGTGCACGCGCTCACACATGAACACGCATGCTGCAGTGAAACTGTTGTTGTTGCTTGTTGTTGTTTGCTCAGTGACGCTGGGTGCTGATGCCAACATCACTGATGTGACGCAAAAGCGTCTCTGTCGCGACGTACTTGGTGAAAATGTCGGCCGGGTTATTGGTCGTGTTGATCTTGACAATCCTCACAAGATCGTGTGCGACCAGTTGTTGTATGAAAAGGTGCTTGAGCTCGATATGTTTGGCTTTCTTTGATGCTCCAATCCTGGTTGCCATGCTCTTTCCGCTTGATGAGTCGGTGTGTATGCGGATGTTGATCTTCTTCATGTTGAGAGCTTCCTTCAGGAAATTGCTGATGTGGAGTGCTTCTGTTGCTCCTGTGTTGATTGCATAGAGTTCTGCTTCCGCGCTGCTCAGCGCTATTGTTGCCTGTGTTCTGCTTCCGTAGTGGATTGTTGCTCCAAAGACTTTGATCAGAAATCCTGTTGTTGACTTCCTCGTTGTTGCACATCCTGCCCAGTCGCTGTCGACAAAGACTTGGATGTCTGGTGCTGCTTCAGCTGTTGGTGTCTTGGTTGTTGGTCTTATGTATTGTTTGTAGTGTTGTGTTCCCTTGATGTACCTGAGCAAGTGTTTCAGTTTCTGCTGGTCTGCTGTTGTTGGTTGTGTCAGAGCTCTTGCAAGCTCCTTTGTTGCAAAGCCAATGTCTGGCCTTGTGTAGGTCATCCATTGTAGCTTGCCAACCATTCTTCGGTAGGCTGCATGTTCTTCTTTGTTGAGTTCTTGTTCCATCTCTGATGTTGCTTTCAGAGTATTGTTGCCTGGTGCTGGTGCTGAGTTGCAGTTGAGCATGCTGGCTTCTTCCAGCAGCTGTGTTGTGTAGCTGTCTGCTAAGCTGATCTCGTAGTAGTCACCTTTGTTGCAGATGTTTCTGCCCAGAAAGCTGATGGTGTTGCCGACTGTGAGTTCTCCTGTAGGACGTAGTAGAAGGTGTTGCTGAATGCTCTTGAACAGCTTGTGAACCGTCTCCTGTTGTCCAATGAAGAGCAGGTCGTCGACGTAGCATAGTATGTATGCATCTCCTCCAGGTGTTGCGTAAACGTTGGGCTCGCTGACAAGTCGTCGTAGTCCAAGTTGTTGCATCACCTCTGCTAGGTGATTTTGCCATGCTTTTGGGCTGCTGCGTAAGCCATAGATGGCTTTGTTGAGTCTCCAAACGATCTGGTCGAAGGCGTTGTAGAACTCTGCTGGTGGATACATGAAAAGATCTGCTGTTGCTGCTGCGGCATGTAGAAAGGCTGTTGAGATGTCTCCTGTGAGACAAATCCAGTTGTTGCAAAGTGCTAAGAGAAGTAGCATCCTTAGCACGCAGAAGATTGGTGTTGATGCAAAGATGTCGTCGTTGTCGTTGATCTCCTCAGTGTAGCCCTTTGCTACAATTCGTGCTCGAACTGTGTTGCCTTTCTGTCGAAGGACCCATCTTGATTTGATGATCTTCTTGCGTTGTTCTGGTGTAAGTTGGCTTATGTGTACCTCTGTGTACACTCCTTGTTCCTTCATTGACTTGATTTCTTGCTTCATTCCTTCCGTTGTTTGTTCTTTTTCTAAACCTTCGGTGTTGCTCACCCAAGGTTCCAGGAGAATCTTTTCAGCTTGTATCTCCTGTTCATCTTCGTTGGAGGTTGCTTCTATCTTCTGTCCTTTCCTCGTTGTGACTGTGACTTGTGATATCCTCATCCTTGTTGTTGGTGGCTCCTGAGCTGTGTCAGGTCGGCTGGCTGCTGTGGCTCTTTCTGTTGTCCTTGCTTGCTTTGGTGAGCTGCCTTGTGTAATCTCATCTGTTACTTCTCTTTTGCTTTGTGTTGGCATTGGAAGTGCTTGCTTTTCTTGCTGTGTTGCTGGCGCTGTTGCCATTGGAAGGTCCGTAAGTGCTGGTGGTGGTGTAGCGTGTGGTTGTACCATGGCTTTTGGTTGTGGACTCTGCTGAGTCTGTGTGCTTGTTGTTGTCTGCTGCTTTGCTGCAGCAGGTTGTGGTAGTACCACAATGCTTGGTGTTGTTGGTGGTATCATGGCTGGCGAAGAGTTGATGATGTCCATCAACTGCTTGTTGTACTTGTCTGGCTTGATTTGTCTTCGAATGGTCCTTGCTTTGACCACTTTGTTGCTGATGCCAAGTATGTTCTCGTTTGTTGAGTTGTCCTTACCTAGCCAGATGGCTGGGTAGAACCTTGCTTCCATCTTTGGCATCTGCTTTGCTGTTGGTAGCATGTAGAGAACTGTTTCACCAAATTCACATATTGGTGTTTTGTGTTCTTTGCCCCATCGTCTATAGTAGCTTGTGTTTCCATCTGAGTGAATGGAATACCTGTTGAGCAGGTATGCTGCGTGTTTGACAAGCCACGGCATGATGGGATGCTTGCTGTTGAGCTTGATGCCATAGTTGGTCTCCAGTTGGAGTTTGAGGGCTCTGACTTGGCCCATCAATGTTCTGTGGAAACGTTCAACGCTTCCTTGTGCTTGTGATGTGTAGGCTGGTGCTTGCCTGACTGCTATGTTGCTACCCATGGCTGTTGCCACCATCTTGAGCAAGGAGATGATAAAGTCTTCCTGGTCTGATTGAAGAACGGTGTTGTTGAGAATTGCATGTGTTCTGCCACATTCCATCAGGAATTGTTGAAGGCAGACTGACAGGTATTGTACGTGTTGTGTCTTGTCCTCAAGTTGGACTGCCATACACATGCCTGTTTCAACGTCCACTGCTGTAAGGACTGATGTTGTTTGCTTTTCTCCTAGTGCTTTGTAGTACATCAGATCCACTTGGATCACTGGTGTTTTGCTTGTTTGCTTTGGATGGTTGTCCTGTCTTCCTTTGCTTTGTACACATGTTGGACACCAGCTTCTGTAGGGAAGGTGTGTGAGCTCGTGTTCTCTTCTTTCTTGTTCTGTTGGTTGTTGTGGTGTTGGCACTCCTTTTGCTCTCTTGGCTTCTTGTTGCTCCTCTGGCTCATCTGTGATGAACTCATCTTTGTATGCTGCGTTTTCTTCAAAATTTGTTGAGCCTGTCCACTCTATGTCGAGTGTTGCTCTCCTCTTTGTCGTCCAGTCATCATCTATTCTATATCCTCTGTTGCC